TATATATATATATATATATATATATATATATATAATAGAGTTGGAAAAGAAATAAACTGAAGAGATTTGAGATCATTGAGGAATCTACCCCTTTCACATGACCCAAGTGGATCTCGAAGGACAAGTTCTCCCTTTAAGATGTGACGTGATTGGCACATTGGAAATCAAGAGGAGGAAAAATAATTCATCCACCCTGATTATTCTATTAGTTGAGCAATAAATAAGAAAGAAGAAAGGTCAGCTTCAACTTTCTCCATCAATGGGAGAGGAGACTGAATCATAAGGCCAAAGGAGAGATTGGTGTTGAGCCTTGGAATCTAAGGAAAATATGGAAGTATATTTGTCATATACGTCTTTATATAAATGATGCTTAGGTTAGACAAAGGCATCAAGTAACTACTACTTGTCGAGAACAAAGAAGGCATTAGGTGGAAGAGAGAGGTTATTTAATTCGCACGCAATAAACTTTTGGGATACTTCTTTGATTCTGAGTAGAGAGAGATTGGTCCCGACCAAACTTGATCAAATGGGTTGTTGGCAGAGGCAAGGAATTGCCTGCATCACAGCCAATGACATGCCATTCATCCCTAAAACCTCGACTTCGGAGTTGAGTTGTGGAGCGATAACATCGACTACTATGTGGTCGTACGTGTTGCAATAATTGTCTTTGCATTCGTTTCGAAAGAGACTACAGTTCTGCCAAACTTTTGACTGCTGCTTAGAGATTGGCGACTTGAGTGGAACAGTAGCACGCAAACAACGAGTGGGGGATTCATCCATATCTGCATGCATCGCAGCCGAAGACTGTGCCTGCGCACAAACTCATCGTGCTAAGAAAAAAGATGGAATCAGAAGTCGTCTTTTGTTTTAGGGAATTAACATTCATGAGCTGTGGACTTTTGGATTGATTTTTCTTGTTCTCCATTTTACGTCTTCGTCTCATTCTACGCTCCAAATCGTTATCGTGGTGGTATCGATGAGAGGTTACTGGATTTAGATGCTTCACCCGATGAAAGCGACGAAAGGAATAAGGATGATGAAGAACTTTATGCTGCTGCTCTTTCTTCCTTTGTTCCCATCAAATTGCCACTCCGATTACCTGCAATATTTCTCAAAGACATGAGCGCCAAGAGAAGGAACACCGGAAAGGAAACGGTGTTTCCCGGGGAGAGGGGGCAAAGCGGGGGTCCCCGTGGGGCCCGACGCGCCCGTGAAATGAAACGTCATGGAAAAGTGGGTCCCACGCCCGTTCCCTCCTTTCGACGGCGCCGTTACGCGTCCCCGTTGGCACGAGCGCGCTCTCAGTTAATATTAAATAAATAAATAAATAAATGTATTTTTTTTCAGTAAAAAAGAAAAGAAAAAGGCAAAAGCTGGTTGGCAGTTGGTCGCCATCAGAGGACGCGTGTCGCGGCCACGGCCGCACGAGGGGTTCCGCGGTCACGAGCACAGCTCCTCCCTGTCACGTGCCACCTCATCCACGACCGCCGTTTGCGCTTCCCACCCCGACTTTTATACTTGGATTTTAATCCCCTTTCTTTTCCTGCTCTTTTCGGAGGAGCAACTCAAATAATTATCATCGAGAGGTGAAGAGTTCACGTAAACAACTCGCATGGTGGATTAGCAAAAGGAAAACACATTATTTTATATCTTTTTTCTGAGAGCGATCGTCGATGCAGAGACCTGCTATTTCATTCTGGTTTCTCTGCAATGCCACGCAGTTCCTCGTGCACTGACGCCGGCGATGAAAGAGGACGGCGGCGACGTGATGCCGACGGTGGTGGGTGGTTTGCTAGTGCTGCTATGGTCCTCGGTTCCCGATCAGACGAACAAGGGATGTAAATAATTAGGAGGAGAAGGATCCCAAACAGTTCCCCGCCTGGATATAGATTCCTGCACCAACCAAGTTCTACAGGGGTATGGCCAATGGTTGCCACATGATTCACCATCAATGCACGCCCACCTCGCACGATTCGAGCTTCGCAAACGGGCAACTCCCCGTGCTTTGCAGGTTGTGCAGCTGAGATCACTGTAATTGTCGCTCCTTTTATGGTGTGTTGTACGTTCTCCTCCATCCCCCATAGCCACCGAACGAAGGCTGGCATGACGTGAGATCCCCGATGCGTCACGACCATGATCATGTCACATTACTGCTGCATCTTCTAGCTTAAGACAGAAGCGTTTCTTCTGGTTCAAATTACTCATGCTTAATTACATGACTCTCATTTGATGCCAAGATGCTGCGATTTCCATGGTAGGTGACGTCCGAATCTGAGGTGATCACAGGAGTCGGTATCGAGTCCATATCAACACAGCCCAAATAATTGATGAAGAAGCTATCGGATCATCACCCGTTATGTGTAACCGACAAAGTACACGTCTACCGTCACATATTCGATCAGGACCACGGGCACCTACCGTTGGATCGAAATCCAACGTCGATATCCGTGATCTACATCGGCTCAAATCGGAGGCCCTTTGATGGCGGTGGTTCGAGACTCACACCCTTGTCTTCCGCTTTAAGCCGGGCCTCCGATGCAAGTGAGGTATAGCCATGAGCGCCCCCTCCTTGCATACCTCGAGTCAACCTACAATCTAGCGAGAGAAAGAAGGCATGTTGTTGGTGTGCATGTCGTGGTGGCTCGATTAAAAATTGGTGCAGGTCTTGCAAAAGAAAGTAGGCACCCACCATTGTAATTTTAATGGAGAGGAGGAACAGAGGGGGTCGAGTGGTCATTTGACATTTGGAGTGGTGGCCAATTTGGAGGAAGAGAAATATAGAAATGCGAGGACCTGTCCAAAGGGAAGAGGAGGAGGAGGAATAGCGACTTGTTCTCTTTTCTCTGTCTGCTGTCAGTCTCCATTTTCTTTTCTTTCTTTCTTCTCCTCTTTTTCTTTCATTTTGTAATGCTCTTTCTCTCCCCTTTCGGAAGGCGATTGCAGGAGGAGGAAGAAAAAGAATTGCAACAAAGAGAGCGGGGAGATCGGGGAGACAGGGATGGAAGAGTCCTGGAAGAGGTTTTCAACTCCGCAGGAAGACAACGATGTCTTCGTGGTCTAAATCTCTCCTGATCCGTAAGGCATGCAACCTTAGGTAAGAACCTGCACATCTCTGAGCTTAATTACCACCACCACGACGCGAAGACGGACAGGGGAAAGGGATCGGCAAGAGCGAAGATATATGATCCCTTGAATTCTTCTGATTCTCCATGATTTCTTCTTGTTGGGTTTCTTGTTTTGAACGATTCATGTCTTCCTATGGTTGCAGCTAGCGTAACGTGAATTGGACCGCTATGATGATGAAGAGAGAGAGACCAGCATGGGCATAGCGACACAGCCATCCCAGCTTCCTTTCTCCTACCTCAGCCCACCCAGGGTCCTCACGAAGCCGCTGGCCGGGCCTACTTCTCCGACGTCTATGTCCCAAGGCTTCCACCAAGGCATCTTCAGCTTCTCCGAGGGCTTCGACCGCTCTGCAAGCCAAGAGCAGCAGCAGCACCGCCACCACCACATCCCGCAGCATAGCAGGAGGGACAAGCTAAGGGTGCAAGACCTGGATGTCGCCGGTCACCCGCTGGTCCCGATCGGTGATCAAGGAGATGAGACAAACATCTACGAATCCGCTGCTGTCGGTGCCGGCAACATGTTGTCGGACATGTTCGATTTCCCGGCAACGGGACCGACGGCGATCGACCTGCACGCTAACCAGATCTCTGGAGGCTATCATTTGCCGCCGAGGCCAGCGGCCATGCCCGGCTTCTCTGGGGACTGGTACGGCCTGAACCGACAGGAAAGCCAGCAGCAGCAGCAACAGCATCCGGTGACAGGTCTGAGCACAGATTCGGCAGCTGCGATGCAACTATTTCTCACGAATCCTCCACTGCAGCCGCCGCCACACCAGCGGAACCCAAGGTCTTCATCTCCGTCTCTGCCGGCTCCTCCTCCAACTTTCCACCAGCAACATCAAGGCTTCCGAGCAGTCGAAGAGTCTCCCTTTGGTGGAAGAGCGGTAGAAGGCCAAGGTCTGTCGTTATCTCTTTCTTCATCTCTGCAGCAGCTGGAAATGGCCAAAGCCGATGATCTAAGAGTTAGGCAAGCAGCGCTATACCTCAATAACCAACAGCAAAACCAGCAGCAACCGACGTTGCATTTTCAAGGTCATATCCCAGGAGCTCAAGTTCATGGCCACGGTCAGCAGCTACACATGGGCTATAGCAGCATGGGCGTGGTGAATGTGCCGAGGAACTCCAGGTACACAAAGGCGGCGCAGGAGCTACTGGAGGAGTTCTGCAGCGTGGGGAGAGGACAACTGAAAGGGAGTAGGGTAGGGAGACACCGTGGCAGCACATCGAACACTAACCGTAACCCTAGTGGCGGCGGCGGTGGTGGTGCTGGAGGTGGAGGTGCTTCCACCACCTCTTCCAAAGACGTTCCTCCCTTGTCTCCTGCCGACAGATTCGAGCACCAGAGAAAGAAGACCAAGCTCATCTCCATGCTTGACGAGGCACGTATCGATCTATCTTTCCTTCCTGCTAGTATGTCTTGGTACCAATAATTTTAGAAAGCTGTCTCTAAATCCACATCCTTTTTCCCAGAATTCCAGTAAGCTTTTAGGATTCTTCCTTCGTATACTTGGAGGACAGCCGGTGGCCACATATATTCTACATTCATACAGTAGGTGGTTGAGTGGATTCACAAGTCAATTTTCACAAGATTTTTTGACACCGGTCGTTGTACTTGACATCTATCTATCTACTCCTAGAGGTGGGGTAGATTACCATTAGGGGTAGTTTCCAAGAAGAACCCATGGCTCACTCTACTCTTCTTTGTTTCTACGATCTCACTGTCCCTCGTGGAAGCACTGCATAAGAAATAGATTGATTTATACGAGTCTCGGCTCATCAGATCCTTGTATTTCTTTGTGTACATACTGCTGCAACCCTTTGATTCAGCGTCAATCACTGTCACCATGCTTTCCTACTACTACGACTACTGATCATGCACCTATCGGCCAACTGTTTTGGCATTCCTGAGATCATCTAAATCAACTCCACCTCCCTTTCTCTCCATTTCTCTCTTTCATGGAAACTTGGCAGCTATTGTTTGGCATCAGCAGCGAACGTAACCCACATGAACAGGAAGCATGTTGGCTTTCCGCTAGTGTGGCTGTCTCGGACCCTTACCTTCCGGAACAAGTTGCTTATAGCATCTGTGGCCACCGTATCGTATACTACTCTCCAATTACATATATCATCCTAGCAGCCGCATGTCACAAAAGGATAATTAATTATTGTACTTCCTTCGTGTAATTACTGCAGCTAATTTAGCTTTTTATCTTTTGCTTCCTTCCATATATTTCGTCTAGCATAGTGAAACAGTACATAAAAATGAACGAGCAAGGAAATTATTACAAGGGGAATGAATCATGGTGTTCTGTGTCCTCCCATCTTCCCAGGTGGACAGAAGATACAACCACTACTGTGATCAAATGCAGATTGTGGTGAATTCCTTCGACTCGGTGATGGGGTTCGGATCTGCAACCCCGTACACGGCTCTGGCTCAGAAGGCTATGTCGCGGCACTTCCGGTGCCTCAAGGATGCCATTGCGGCACAATTGAAGCAAACATGCGAGCTCCTTGGGGATAAAGAAGGCGCGAGTAGCTCCGGCGTCACCAAGGGAGAAACCCCGAGGCTTCGGTTGCTGGATCAGAGTTTGCGGCAGCAACGGGCATTCAATCAGATGGGCGTGATTGAGCAAGAAGCCTGGAGGCCTCAACGAGGATTGCCGGAGCGTTCGGTCAATATCTTGAGGGGTTGGCTGTTCGAGCACTTCCTTCACCCGTGAGTCTATCTTCTCTTGTCACCTTACTATGGGATTCTTATGCTAAGCATCGTTCTCCTCTTCCCCCTGCACCTCCTCTAACATGAATAAACCCTAGTAATTAGCATAGTGACAATGTTCCACTTCCTTCTCAGTTTCGAGTGATTATAACACGGATATTTAATTAGGCTAAATGCTTGGAAGTAGAGTTATTCCTGCATTCCATGCTGCCTGCATGCTTGCTTCTCTTCATGCACAAGAGTTGTCATTCACTTGAAACCTCTCTCGGTCATGTTGCTCTGTGTGTGTGTGTGTGTGTGTGTGAGAGAGAGAGAGAGAGAGAGAGAGAGAGAGAGAGAGAGAGAGAGGGAGAGAGAGAGCGCGCACAGCACGGAGCACTTTCTTTTCTTTATTCCTCTACTACTACTACTACTATCTGTAGTTATAGGAATCAATGATTGTCACTTTCCATAGAGTGGTTTGCTTTTATCAAGAACTCAGAACTGCATTGTCCTTTTAATCTGGGTTTACTTTTATCAAGAATTCAGCACTAGGTTGTCCATAAGTGTAGTCCTTGCAGCAGCAAAGCTGCACAAAAGCTTCACTGTTTGTCCCATCCTTTTCATTCATTGGAATACTATGACAGCAAGACTCATAAATGACATTTACTGGTTCACGACCATAAGTATGTGGTGATTAAGGATGGTCACTGTAGGTTTTTTAAGATTCGTTCTGATCATGTCATTCTCGACGGTCTTCCTTTTGTTTCTCAGGTATCCCAGTGATGCAGATAAGCATTTGTTGGCGAGGCAGACAGGGCTCTCCAGAAATCAGGTCCGTCATCTTCTCCCACGATGATAAGAAACGCATCAGCTTTCGGATTCCATGAATTCCGACCAAGAATATAATATCTCTTCCATGATCCCGTCGAAACTCTCCCTTGCATTATTTTGGTGTTGTTTCCTATCTAGACTCTGTTGAACTGTCAAAGAACCCTCGAAGAACATTAAGATAACAAGATATATGTAGTACTTGCGGAGCAGATCCACTTTAATTGGATTAAACTTAGGCTCTTTTTGTTTGAACTTTGTTTCGGTCAACTAGGGTTCATGTTTTCTGCACCTCATAATCGACTTCAGAGCAATAAAAACTGATCGTTATACTTGTGGATCAGGTCTCCAACTGGTTCATTAATGCAAGGGTGAGGCTATGGAAACCAATGGTGGAGGAGATGTACACGCAGGAGTCCGAGGACAAGGAGGAAAGAGAGAGTGAAACAAGCCAACAAAGAACACAATCACCAATGCAACAGCAGCAAGGACTCAGACCGGAAACCAATGCCGCATCCGAAAGTGAAGCCTCTCCCAGCACGTCTTCCATCACCCAGCGCAATCATCGGTTGGTGTCCTCCGACGACAACCCACCGCCCGGTCTGTCTGCGACTCACCAATCAACAGGCGCAGTAGACGACAGCGTCCTCATCGGCGATATGTACCACCACTACGGGGTTGCCGCCACCTCTGCTTTGGGCCCGGCTGCAGGAATGAGGTTTGGAGCCGCCGGAGATGTGTCGCTCACGCTCGGGCTACGGCATGCCGGCGGCAGTACATCCGAGAAGAGCCGGTTCTCAGCTAGGGACTTTGGCGGCTGCTAATGCCACCAAAAGGGTTCGAGGTGAACAAGATCCAAAGGAAACATAAGATTAGCTGAGAAGATCCCAAGTCGGCCACTGTAATCTTCTTGGATTTGCAACAAATATATAGCAAGAACATAGGAATCTATGGTATAGAATTATTTTGCAGGTTTTTCCCTTCTTTAACATTTCTCTCTGTATCTAAGAACACATGTCGGTGTTGGGGAATAATTACAAGAATACGGATTGTTGACATTACTGTGTTTCTTTTGGTTCTGTTTACTGTTTCATTGCCATGGTTTGCTCACCAACGAGGTAGCCGCCCATTGATTTCAGGACGCTTTGGGGAGCCATGATTGAGCCATTAATGCTCGAAATAGTGGTTGATGGATGAGGGAAAAAATGAGAGGGTGATTGCGTGAGTCGTGTGGCACGCCAGATGGACGATGGGGCTCTTTTTCTGGGACCTCATTCTGGACCATCCATGGCTTTAACTGGCAATTGGACAAAGAAGATTTAATGGAAGATGACTCCTTGTGCACAATATATCGCTGCAAATGTCAAAGAAAAAGAATCCAAAGTTCCATGTGAAGATCTATATTGATGTGATTTCAATTAATCTCTTTGCATTGATAATCACCCGAGTAAGACAATTATCGGGGGTGATGCCACTTTTGTTGCAGGATAAGAGATCATAGCATCAAGACGGGTGACATGGAGAAAGAATCGACGTGATGTCCTCAAAATTCCATCATCTTTCTCATTCTATGTACATGGTGAACAGTTCCTCAGAGAACAAACATCACACATCAGCCACCACAGAGGAGGCCACGAGAAAGCAACCAAAACTGGTACATTCATATGCATCAGCTTCCGCCTCCTTCAAATGGGTGCAAAACGGTCCATGAGCAAGAAGACCGCAGCCTCGGAGAAGGCCACGCCATGGACCGCCTTGTCCGCGGTCACTGCTTCGCTCTTACTCGACGGACGCTTCTTCTCCTCCTCTCTTCTTAGTTGCGCCGTTGCAGACTGGGAACTGGATTTGGCGTTCTTCTCCCTCAGCCTGGCGAACTCGTACGTCCATATATCGACGAGGCTTGACATCTTCTTCCGTGCGATTCCAATACTTCTCTATCCTAAGCAAACGAGGCAGGTGGAAGATTGAGCTTAGAGATTCGATGGGAAGGGAGAGGAACGAACGGGAGGCAATATAAAGAGGAGGAAATCAGTGGGCCTGCGACTATTTCCGGGGGCTTCGAGGGTGTCAGAAGTCCGTGGGCTGAGCCCCTAGAAAGGGTGCGAACCGTTCGCCCGCCAATCGTGCATCGCACGCAGAATCGAGGGATCGACGTGCGTCGGTCTCACAGGAATGCATGCGGCTACCTATGCAACGTCATCTACTAGAATTCGTCGCTTTTTAGTGCTCCCAAACGAGGATAAGTCTTCTTGTTGAATTGATTTCATTAGGTTTTATTCTGTCTTGTGATGATTCTTATCTGATAACTTTATTAAGTTAAGCATTTGAATCAGAACCATCCAAATTAACATACCAATTATGAGAGAGATATGGGCGACTAGAAAAGGCAATAAATAAAACAGGGATCCAATAATAAATTTACTACTAATAAAATACTAATATTTTACTCGTATAATATTTCAATTTAATTCTACAGTAAATTAATGAATATACTATCAATAACCTAAATGTAACCCATCTAAATTCATGATTCGTATTAACGATTAATATGATACGTTGAAGTATCTATATAAGTTTTTAGATAGAGATTTCTATCAATCATGTAATAAAAAATTATACAGTCAAATCAATTATTTAAATCTATGATTAATAAAAAATTATATATTCAAATCAATTATTTAAATCTATGATTAATCCTCGATAGAACAGTAGAGAGATTACTATCATCGGAAAAGTTTTACTCGACGCAACACAAGAGAAGCTCTAATACCATATTAAATCTAAGAATATGTTGTGAAAGAGATGAAATCATATATTCAGATCAATTACTCAAATCAGATTAATTATTCAAATTCATGATCCTTAAATCATAAATTGATTAAAGATATAATATATAAAAAATAATATAAAAAAATATCATAACATATGTACCCATGTATCTTCGATTATTACGATCAATCTTGATGATATAAAATTTATAACAAAAAAAAATATTTTTTGGCCATACATCGTGAGAGGTTTAGGTCAACATATTACATTGCAATTTTCTGCAAAGCTCGATCGACCACCTATGGCAGGAGTGGAAAGGCCTCATGTTCGTTTCTTCGTCACAAGGCCCAACAGCTCTTGCTTATTTAGTGGAACAGAACTCACTAAGAAACAGAGTGGCGCAAATTCCAGCTTCAAGTGCCCAGCAATCAGATAAGAGATCAACCCATAGATATGTATACAGAGATAGATATCTATATACAATGACTCTGAGCTCTTAGCAGTAGCAGTAGCAGTAGCAGTAGCAGTTTTGCGGGCGCACTCCAACCTATGGGCTGACGCAGTCGACGAGCATGGACACGGCAGCTTCCGTGCAAGGCAAAGGCAGCCAGGGGCGAGGCTTGATCCTGATCGCCTGGCTCAAAGGAAGCTCCTGCGGCTCACCGCCTCCCTCCATCTCCGCCTTCGGTCTCGAACTCCCTGAGAAGGCAGCACGACCCTTCTCCCGAAGCTTCGCGAGCTCGGCCGTCCACGTATCCACCAAGTTGGACATTGTGATCAGAGACTGCAGCAACGACGACGATGGCTGACAAGCGACAGTCCAAGGAGAAGAAACAACACCAAGAGGAACAACTTACGATGGAAGGATGAGGCCTAGGGAGGTTGATAAGGAGCAGCAGACGAGCTTATCCATTCCAAAACCAGGGCCTTTGGAATCCTGGAGCCGCCAGTCTATGGGAGGGAGCCCGCAGCTTCATAAGAGCCCGAGGTATATGGCATCAAAGCCATTACAGAACGAGTCTTCCTTTTGTGCATCACATCACATCCATCATCTCTCTCTCTCTCTCTCTCGCGTCTTCTGATCCTTTCAGTTTTCGGTAAATATAAAAATGTGGTTAAATTGTCTTAAAATTAGATTCAAGTAGTTGTAAACTGAAGAAAATCCCAGACCGTCGGATCTGCGGAGCCTCCTGACGACTAAGTCATGTGCTTTATCCACGTGTCTTAGCTTGGCGCGTTGGATCAGGTCAGGCACTCCTTAATCACCCTCCATCCAACGCCAAAAGATTACACGGCAGTAGGCCACCTGCACCGCCTCATGGGGAAGCAGGAGAAGAGATCGGGTGATGCAGATGGATCCTTCTCGTGAACGCCTAAGGCGGATAGGAGGTGGGTGAGAAGGGATCGGTAGCGAATCGATCGGGTAGATCTAAGCCCTACCGAATGGAGGAGGAGGTGGGTGAGAAGAGTCCTCGCAAGAATCAGGAAGACAAGCCGGAAGGGGGCGGCGGCGGAGGATGGGGCGGCTGGGGCATCTCTTCTTTCTCCATGTTCTCGGATCTACATAAGGCCGCGGAAGAGATCTCCAAAAATGTACATGATCTCTTGCTGTTTCTTATTCGATTAATTTGTCTACTGTTACATCCTAAAACGAAGTGAATTTGGTAAAAGGATTGTCCTTGTTTGGGATCAGGCAGTTGAAGTGGTCAAGAATGCGGCCAAAGGCATCACTGAACTGGAGATTGCGGATTCTGATTCTGAATCGGCTGATGAGGTTGCGAAGAAGGGACCCGAAGGGGGAGAAGTAGAAGAAAAGGAGGAGGAGGAGAGTGAGGAGGATAGGCTTCGCAAGTCCGCGCTTGATAAACTGGAGAAAGCCAGTGAGGATTCTCTGTTCGGTCAGGTGAGTCAATAAAACAGAAGATTGGAGATCCACTGCAGTGGTTTTAGGTGACTTCTTATTGGGATACATGTTTTCTTATTAACTTTTACATCTTTTAGGAACGATGAAGTCGTTGTTATATGTTGCTTCCTGTCCTTTGGTGGTGATTCCTTAACATTCTCGTTTTTGTGGCATCTAGGGTCTCAAGGTGCTCGATAGTTCAGTGGAAACTTTTGCTTCGGGAGCTTGGAGTGCATTGGGTGGTGCTTGGAAAGGGGGTTCAACTCTGGTCAGCAGGTATGCAATGTCATTTCTTTTGTATCTAGCCGTTCTGCAGTACAATTTACTACATTGAGTATGTTATATATTACGTAGTCTCCAAAGCAGAGACGCGTCTCTGTTAAAGAGATGTGATAAATATGTGGATTGTGCATTTTTAAACACCTGCCGCTCCGTAGCCCTATTGTCCCTGATTGGTCTACTGCATCAACTTCTAGAGGATCTGTACTTTGTTACAGTAATCCTGTAAAGTCTGTACATGATAGTGGACTAACCTGATTGGTGTGTCCTAATTGATACAAAGGGCCTGCATTACATGATGTACCACATTGTAAAGTTTGCCGGTACTTTTGCCCACTATTGTTTAATCCTTTGCAGTCGTTACGGTCTAAGTGTCACATTTGGATAAATTTACTTAAGTTGAAAAATTATTTTGACAGGCCTTGGTGTAACCCAATCTATTATTAACCTAGCCCTTCATTTGGAGAATGATTGACAATTGGCTTTAGGCACATCATATGCTAAGTACCAGGAATGTTGGTTATGAATTTTTATTTCATGGCTGACATTACAATTGTCAGTTGTCAAACTTCTATGTGCTTTTGATTACCTTTCATGTTCAAACCAGCTGGTTATGGCTGCAAGTTATTCGAAAATTTTTAAATGCAAAATATATTATTAGCATATATTCTGTATTAGAGCAACAGTTTCTGGATAGGTTCTGCTTTTGGAGCTAATCAGTTTTCACTAGTACCTTGTATGCTGCAATCGCTACTTTCTTAAACTGTAAAACTATATGGGTTTTATACATTGATTTTTCAGTAAATTTAACCATTTATCATCAAGCTGTCTTACAGGTTGGAACATTCTGCGGTGAGTCTAGCTGATGCCATTCAGCATGGAAACCTTCCTGGCCAAACCCCATCAATTATAGAGGTTTTTCAATTAACAGATACAGTGACATGTATCACTAGTGTTTTCTCTCTCTCTCTCTCTCTAGGTTGATCCTTTCATTCTTGTTTTTTGCAATATAGACCGGGAGGACTTTTACAACTAAGGGCATGGAAGTGCTTGAGCGGGTTGGAAAAGAAGCCATAGAGTTGCTCATTGCAGAGACTGGTCTTGAAGTTGAGAAAGATCCTGGTGAGGTCGACCCTCAAGATGATGAGGAGCAGTTTGAGGAAGTTACATTTGACAGGTGCTTTTACATTTATGGAGGTCCTGATCTGCTCGAGGTACAGTTTCTGTAGGTTTCTTACCAGCTGTGGTCGACTCTTCCTAATGTTCACTGAATATTTGGATGCAGGAATTGGAAGCATTGTCAAGCCATCATGCGTTGTTATTTAACAGGAAAAAGGCAAAACTTTTGGCAGAACAGAAATCTCTCTATGACGCTAAACTGCAACAGATCCAGCAAATCTTCAGTCTGGGCACTGATGTTGAAGAAAATGAAGTAGATTCAGATAAAGGAAAGAATATCGAGTCATTAGGTGGTGACAATGATGTTGAAATGATAAGGTTGCGTGACTCAAGTGTCAGGAGGGCTGCTGAAATTGCTTCAGGGTAATACAAACAGACTGATCAATGGATAACGTATCGACAGTCTGTTGCTAATAAATTCACTTGATATTGTTTTTTAGCTTAACTCAAATTCATGCTAGTTAACTGATTTTTTCATGTGATTGCACCTGCAAAATTGAAAATTATGGCTTACTAAAAGTAGCATGCGATTGCAGGTATCCAATCTGAATTTCGTCTGCTGACCATATCTAAACAATGATACTTAGAATACAGGCTGTAACAAGGAAATTTCATTAGGCATGGAAATGACAAGGGTGCACATTGCAGTGTCTCTTTCTGCATTCCTTCTAGTGTTGACCCTTACTGGCTATTCCCTGAAAGTCGTGTTAAGCTTTGATTCATGCGTTTGATACGCCTATTATTTTGATATTCTACATTGATAAAGATATGTGTTGACAATGGAAATATGACTGTGGTGTTAATGCACAAGAAATATTACAAAAGATTATCGGTAGAATACGTTCGTCTTTTTTCATGATTATGCATCTCGATCTGTTAGGTTCATCGTGCTTTGTTTCACACTCAATATTATGCTGCAATACTCACTGTGAAAATTGCCACATGTTGAGTTGACTGGAATGCAACTAGCAAAAAGCTTGAAAGTGCATGGTGAGTGATTCAATAATGTGCTGAGAGGTCCAGATGCTCTCACCGAGACCTTTTGCCCATAACAAAATATTTGTTCTCTCTGTTGGATGTGCATGATCAAAAGAAAACTAAAGTTAAGGGCAACCAGTAATTATGAGAAGGGACCAATGAATGCTTGAAAAGCTCAGGGACTGGGATCTTCATGGCCATGCTAGCTTCTGTTTAGTTTATTTTCACTCTGCAGAAGTTCAGCACATTAAATATGACTGTTGATTATAAGTAAAAGAAGCTTTCTCTAATGGTTGCTTTTGAACTTACTTTTAATGTGCTTACCGAATGACTTAAGATTCTTTGTTTCTTTCTCAAGAATTTCCTTCTTTGTGTGATGTCTGGTGTCACTTGTGAAGTCTGTTTTAGTTGCCTATGTATTGGCTACCCTAGCATCTCATTTTTTATTTGTTTTACAATCTCAAATGATTGTGTTGTTTGTAGTTGTTTTGTTCTTATGGCAAAGGATTTCCCCTGTTTAGGTGCATTATGTGATAGTTTCAAACATTCAACTTATGGAAGCAACTCATGAATTCCAAACTTTTTGCATCAAATTGTCAAACAAATTTCAAATGACACCATGAAAAATTATAGTATCTGACAGATATACATATTCCTATTTGTCAATTTCCTTAGATTTGATAACGCACTGTCGGCTTCGAGATTTTTCTCATAATTAAGGATATTATGGACATGATCCAATTATGTAGTTGATGTTCTTTGCTTATCTTTGATGCTCAATGTTGTTGTACCAATATACTTGCATAGGCAAGCCAGACTGATATTCATAATCTTATCTTGCTCAAGAGAGTACTACTATGTTGATTCAGACACCATATGCTATCTTTTGATGAGCTAATATAATTTCATAAACACCTTCAGAGTGGTTCATAAAGTCATTTAGGCTGGTAGTTAATTCACTCCTAATCAGTTATAGTTAGATTTGAACTTCTTTCTTTAAGCCCTTCAGATGGCAGGTAATAGTGTGGCACTGTATGTTCAATTCTAAAGGGCAAATCAGATGTTCCCAGCAAAATTTTGTTTTCAATAACTATGTGTCTTTGATTAATTTCATAATGTACCTACTTCGCTGATCTCATCTTACAAGTTACAAGCATGTACAAAGCGGACATTCTTGTCAGGGTATTTGAAGCTTGCTTCCAATTTGCTTATTTTAGCTATTTGTTTTACATTGCTGTGCTGTTAATGGAATGTTTACATTTTTGTATTGATTGTTCATTCATTGTGTATTAGCATCATCATTTCTTCATCATCATTGTTAATGGCAACCTCATTGAGCCCGAAGTAGCTATTAGCTATTATATCACATCCTGCTAATTTAAGGATTCCAGAAAGTTAAATTTGCTCGCCCTTCTTTTTTTATTATTATGGTAATTCCTTGTGCAGGTTCACATCCGCTCTCGGGGGACTCTCTGCAAATGATACAATTCAACGAGCTACTGATAGACTCGAGACAATTCACTCAGAGTGTATCCATGTACAGATAATTTGGTTAACTATATTTTCTTTAGTACTTCTGTATTGTACTAAGTTACTGATTCATTGCATTTCAAATGCAGAGACTGTCAGAACTCTGTTGTTCTGCAGTATCTCAACTTCTTTTTCTTGGAAAATCGGTCATCTCTAGTGCAAACAAAGGAAGGAGTGAAGAGATAGACGGAGATATCCCAAAGATTGATTGGCCTGAAGACCCTCTCTCAAAAGCTAAGATTATCAGATACAAGGCCAAGTCCATGTCTGCAGACATGGAAACAATTTCAAAAAGTTTTATCACAGGTGAGTGTTACAAGTATGAGTTAAATTAAGTTGTTTATTATACCCGTTGTTTGTGCTTTCTTTGAGAGAACAATCACTAGTAAAAGTCTTTTTCTGCTTATGCACTAAAACCTTAGGACAAATTGTCTTGTAAATGCTTTCAATAATGAACAAGTGCGTCGATATATTTCTCTTTCAAGGAGTTTTTTTTTTCTGGTATAAATTGCTGCTAACCATCCAGACAGACTAATAGTTATGGAAGCAGATGCTAATTTGCACAAATAGCATCACTAACTTGTACTCTCTTTTCATTTATTAACTTTTCTCTTCCTGCCGGAATGATCTAAATAAGGTAGCTATTTCCTTGCTCCATTTTGGAATGGAGTGGACTTTCTCTAATTAGCATTTATGGGTGTTATTTTTGTAGGAACCTCAGACATAGTAGAAGCTTTCTTGGCAACCATACAAAGTGTTTCTTCTGATAAACAAGATGGTGTCCCACGCGCTGTGGTACAGGAAAAGGCAAATGCTATTACGGACCATCTTCGAGCTGATGGAACCAGTGCTGTCGAGAAGATTCAGGATGCTGTGCAGTTCCTGGCGTATGTACTTCTCTCTACATCCATGCCAACCGTATGATATTATTCCTCACACTGGCGTATGTGGTTCTCTATTGATGTCTCTGTACATGGTTTAGTTAGCCACATTGGAGTCAGTTGCATTCCTCTTACTGACTGGCTTCCAGTTGTAGATTATGCTTCTGCATGGTTTTGTCGTTCTTTAAATCTTGTTATGGTTTGTAATTGTTGCGCTAGATGATTTGTTTGAGACAAACTCATGAAGAGATACGGTCTATATATTGATCTCATATGGTGGATTATTTGGTGTCCGAAACACTCATGGATCGTTAGTTTATTGAACTTATAGCAGAATAATAATCGTGAATACTAAGTCGTCTTAAGATTATGTGGTCATTATTGTCAATTAATCGGGATTCCACATCTTCTTGGATGCGGTAAGATGGATTCTTCTTTTTCTCTCATGTGGCACAATATTTACGGATCATGTTTCTGGTCGGCGGTAGGCGAAGTGATTTCAATACATCTAACGTTTTATGCAGAATCTATCAAGCCTGACTTCATCAAAAGTAAACGTCCGACATGATAAAACACCAGAAGTTACCGCGACGAACATCCAAAGTAACTGGAGCTTAGTTAGGCTTGAAGAACTTAAGCTGGATCCCGCTGTTGATCATGCTCCAAACACCGCCTACAGAGAAAGCTAAGCTGAAAGCCATGCCGACGATGCCCAGGCTCCAGTTGAGATACCAGTCGAAGCTGAACCTTGGAGGCTGCTTCATGCGAATCCACATGAAACAAGGGTAAGCAAACGTGACCGGAAGAGAGAGTCCACCCAACAGCCCAGCGAGGCTCGAGAGGAAGGGAAGTGCCACTCCGACGAAGAAGGAGATGAGGCCGTAGAAGACTCGGAAGCCGGATCGGACCCAAATGGAGCAGGGCCGGTTGGTTCGACTCGTGTAACCCGCTTCGAAGCTGTCGAACACCGGCATGGAGTATATCTGGAAACTGGTGAGGCAGTGGAACACAACCAACAGAAATGTTGTGGCCAGAAGTCCCCTGGAGATATCACGGCTGTGAAATGCGTATAGAGCATTCAGTATTCCTCCTGCGGGCATCTGGAAGAGAGATTAATGGGTTTATACATTTCGATACTCGCCAACCTGCAGCGTGTTAAAGCCTCGATATATACTCACCAGGTTTCCATACGCCCAGAAGCCTCCGATGGCAATGGGGAAGAAGCACATGGCTATCAGCAGGTAAGCGACTTTGGCTCCTCTCCACATTGGAACATGAGCAGGATGCTTGAAGGTCGACGGCATCGTTGCCTGGAGATCACGCAACAGCAGTAAGTCCATAAACCTTTCGAAAGCAATTACGGCATCGAGGGAGTCGGACGACCTGAATCTCCAACGCAAGGTTGTGTCCTCTGAATGCATATGCTATTATGCCGAGAGCATTCGAGACCGAGTAAGCTGCAGCCCCCAAGGAAGGGGATGACAGGGGCTGATAAGAGACGGAAGGTGGCCTTTCTTGGCCAACGGAGAGTAGCCAAGCCATGCAAGTGTAAGTGATTGCTGTGAGAGCTCCGATGAGAGAGAGGCCAGCGATGGAGTTGAGATTTGGGAGCTGAGACAGGACGATGCACAGAAACGTAAACACTAGATACCATTCCACGGTCGAAAGCGGGTTCGATGAACACAGAGATCCACAGACTATCTGGAAGAAGAGCTTCAAGGTTTCCCCTCCGATCAGAATCAGTGCTGCTGCAGTCCCTGCTGATAAGTATATTGTCGGGAACAAAGCCAGCCAAACACCAAACCTTTCTCCTGAACAAAGAGATAGTTTAGTCATTAGCAGTGCAAAAGATCAGGGACAAACAATTCAGAAGGAAGAAGAAGAAGAAGAGCGGTCTCACCAAATGCAGCCTGTGCAAGTTCCACATATCGATTGTATCTTCTACCAGGTAGAGCTTCATGTAGCTTAACCAGAATCCAGAGAGTGTAAAGTTGCCAAAAGTAGGCAACGGTCAGAGCTATTATCCCCCAACTCCTGCAGTCCAAGAGATAGCTTAGAATGGCTCACCTTTGACATCAGACTATTTCTGTTCACTGTGAACTCTTCTATTAAAACAAAGCTTTCTTCTTCATGTAAGCTACAAAAAAAGATGTGCAATTTGTCATTCTTGTGGTGTTGATGAACTCACTCAACACATAATAACTCTGTCGAAGAACTCTGAGCTAAGCCTCAGATCGATGCTGAACTCTCACCAACTACTTACAAGAGCTACAGTCATGTAGGCAACTGTAGGAGGTGATCTTTGGAGTGGAATATGGCTTTATCAAAGCAGCTAAAAAGTACAAGAAATCCAATTCTATTGTATTTTTCATCCATCTCATTCAACTCGTGACGACTTTAAGCTGATGACAGCACGCAATCAGACCCATCACATCTATCCCACAGTAAAATTAGGCATCGTTCGCCATCTACCATGGAGCATCAATTTACCGGGTGGACTTCTCTTGCTCATGCACAAAATGTGTTGAACCGATCTACCGCTTCTCACCATGCATGCCTAAGGCCATGTGATGTATGGAAGTATCATGTTGTGTTCAGCAGCAGAGAAGCCTGATGATGGAAGTAGGAAAGAAATGGAAAGCATTAAGCGGATGGAGAAGAGAAGAGGGGGGGAGGGAGAGAAGGTGACCATCCGAGGAAGGCGAAGGCGACGGGGAGGAGGAGCGCCTGGAAGCCGATGCCGGCGTTGAGGTTGTGGAATGCGGCGTAGTGGGCGTTGCCGTGGCGGGACTCGGTGATGGGGAGCCATGCGTCCTGGGGGTTGAGCTTCGTCAGGTGGCCCACCTCCTCCAAGTAGCCCCGTAGATTCACCAGCACGCGCTTCATCGGCGTCCCCAACGCCGAAGACATCGACGGGCTCAGGAACCGCGGCGATGCCGTGCCCGACTTGGCCGAGACGGGCTCCCCTTCGCCACCGCGCGACCGCTGGCCCGTCGGGGTCACCGCCTCCGGCGTGGAGGCCCCCAGGGCTCGCCGGGATCGAGACCAGCTCCGGCTCCAGCCCCTGCGACGTCCCCATTCCCCTTTCCTCCATTTGTCTCAGAACGAAAGAAAGAGCGGTGTGAGAAGAGAGCAGAACGCGGGTAAAGGTTAATAAAGGTATTCTTATTTCTAATACGAAATGACCAAATCGTCCTTCTATGAGATGGGTGATATGTTACGTGCATATAATAACCGTACGTACATTTTAGTTCAGGTCATGTCAACTCTGGTCTGAAGTAGCATTCATTAGAATCAACGTGACATGTTTTTGATCAGCTTAAGATCTGATTCGGTCAATTCAACCCAAAGTATCAGTTATTTAAACTCGATTTGGTAGTACAGAATTCTTTAAGCTAATTGTGGTTTCATTCGTGCACCCATCCATTAGGACGACAGCCATTGGCCAATTCTTTACGTCGCAGAGTTGACTTGGTGGACACAGAATCTGAGAGGAGATCTGACATCACGCAACCTGCTTTAATGGTCAATTCTATTTATGATTATTAATAATAGAATGAGAATAGATAATACACCCGTTAATAGCATATTAATGCATAACAATTCTGTAAGAGGATGTATACTTGATGGTGAATGGTTTGTATCCCGATGTCGTCGAGGCACATTTAGATCGAGTTGGTGCATCAGACATGCTGGCTATAATTTAGACGCATGGAGTTATCGACAAGTTGCATGGACAAACAGCCGGCCAAACAGGGAAATGCTAGTAGTAGATATGGTCCTGACCGAGATGAAGCTCCAAACAATTAAGTGTGAAGGCAATAATGCGTGTACAATTTTTCAAGTAGATGACATGATTTATTTATTCGGGTTTTAAATGTGCAAGATACGGAATTTTGTCTGCATAGCAAGAGAGCTCCTAAGAAACTTCCTAAGGGGTGGTTAAGGCATGGAGTAAATATTGTGCAATAGTTACAATAGATTTTTGAGTATTTAACATTGGCGGCTTAGATTCCAAACCGAACCAATTGTGTTCACTTCTGAGCTCGCCGTCAGGTTTCTGTATGATGATTTAGATCAAAGGTGTACCCAATAAAATTTCTCTAATATTTAAATTAGTAAAGATTTAGAAAGTTCAATCAAATATTGAGTTCAGCAAGTGATAATTAAGCCTATGTGAATTAAGAATACACCATAATTTTCACCATGAAGAAAAGTTCAAGCAGACGAGGGTGGATGATTCACTGCAGGACCCAAGTGCCGCAGGTCTCGTTCACTTCCCTTGAAAGACGAAGAGCCAAAATGGCAATTAAGTTACCACGACGAGTACTTCCCACCATCGACGCTGCGCTGCCCAGCTTCCGTGAACGCGTCGTCCTGAGCGCACAGGATGTAGATTTGCTCCACCCTGGAAAAGGGTGGCCACTGTGAGATCCTTTGGGGCATTCATGCAAACACATGTTGGACAAGGATTACGTACGTATTGCGGAGCACGCAGACACGGATGTACACATCCCTGGAACGGACGACGCTGGTAAGGCTTCGGCGAATCCATTCAAGGTTGTGGCGGCAGGTCCTCTCTGCGCGAATGAGATGCTTATATCGCCTCCCAAACTCGAAGAAGACCTGTAATTGTGGGATCCAATTTCCACTGAAACAACCGACCACGTCGAGCACATTCATCCGCCGGTGGTCGGGCAATCCATTCGACCAGTGATGGAGGAGTCGTGTCATTACTCCTTCCCACGTAGACACCTCGACGGACCGACGTTATTAATTGCATATGGAGGCGTGGGCCCGCTAGGGGTAATTGTAAATGGGCCAAACATTGACGGGAGAACGTTGGGGCTCACCAACATTGACGGCAAAGGCCGACTCGTGGGTCGATCCACAGGTTTGGCACCGCCTCATTCGAACGGACGAGTGAGCCGCATCTGTCAACCTTCTTCTATCTTTGCGCGGTGCGCGTGTCGTGATTCTTCTCCTCTTTAGAGAAACCGACGGCCGACGATGGTCCCTCGTAATGGAGGATCGCCACCTCCTCCAGTCTCGGCACCGCCGCTGCAGACCCCAACGAGACCAGCCCGAGTAGCCGCAGCCGCCAGCTGTGGTCCGCGATGGTGCGTGAGGAGGGGGCGGACGGGGAGCTGCATCAGCACAGGTGCCTGGGCGGCCTAGTCGTCGGCAGCTACTGCCACGACGTCCTCTTTCGCGACGGCGTCCCCGTCGGCGAGACCCTCGGCGGCGCCGCCGCCTTTGTCTCCAACGTCCTCGACGGCCTCACCCCATCCCCTCCTCTCTACGTCGCCAAGGTCGGCGCCGACTTCGCCTACGCCGCCCCCCACTTGCCCCTCCTCGCCGCCCCCTCCGCACCCACCACCCTCTTTCACGCCCACTTTCCACCCGCCTCCGCCGTCGGAAGGTACCACGGAGATCGTGTTCTTCGGCGTCTCCGAACGTGCGACCCGATCTACGCCTCCGACCTCCCCGACGACGCCCGGTTCGACTTCGGCCTTGCGGTCGGCGTCGCGGGGGAGATCCTTCCAGAGACCCTCGCCCGCATGATCGACCTCTGCCGTGTCGTCCTCGTCGACGCCCAGGGGATGATCCGGTCCTTCGACCCGATCGATGGCACCGTCGGGCTCCTGCCGCTCAGGAGCTCCGGATTCTTCCACCTCCTCCCGCGAATTGGGTTCCTCAAAGCCTCCGCGGAGGAGGCGCCCTTCGTGGACGTCGAGGAGGCGCGGAAGTGGTGCTGCGTCATCGTGACCCATGGGAAGGACGGGTGCCGAGTCTACTGGAAGGACGGGGAGCTTCGCGTATCCCCGTTCCTAGCAGAGGAGGTCGATCCCACGGGCGCAGGTGATGGTTTCTTGGGTGGGTTTGTCGCTGGGTTGATTTGGGGGCTGGCGGTGTCGGATGCGGCGCTCCTAGGGAACTTTTTTGGTTCGCTCACTGTTACGCAGATTGGGGTTCCCAAATTTGACCAGAGGATGTTGCAGGTTTGTCTTCTCGCCCTTTTTCTGATTCTTGATTGTTCATTAGAACTATATGTCCCTTGCGTACTTTTCTAGGTTACTTCTTCCTCTGCAAGCTGCTGGCTTTGAAGTGCTTATACCGTGTATCATTACTTGGTGGATTCAGATTGAAAGTCCAGTTTTACTAATCTTGTCTCAACGTTAATAATATATGAAGCAGATGGTGGGTAATCAGATAAATTAGAGACAATGTAGTGTGTTTCCTTGAAGAACAAGCATAGAAGGTGCAACGAAGGTCATAAATTGCTTTTGATCATTTTGGATTTCATCTTTCTCTCAGTATTTAGACTATAGATGCTACCCATCTATCTTATTTACGTTTAGGATAGTTTTTGCAGTTGTTGGTTCTTGGTAGGTCCATTGGAATGACTTTGGTACATAATATCAAAATGGCTACCTTTTATGGCAAGGTTGAATCTTGAAATGACTTTGGTACATAACTTCTACATGACTTCAAGATGGACACTTTTAAAGCATGTCCTAATCGTTGTATGGAGAGTTGATTTGCACTTTGCTTGGTGAAAACTAAGCATTCAGAATGCACCCAATTCATCTCTTAAGCTGAATAACAGATATTAAGATTACTTTGTAAGTTCTGTATCCAAACCTGTTAAATGCTTGCATAACAGAAATTGAATAATCGTGTTTCCTATCAAATTTCACAAAGTGCAAGACCGGAATGATTTACCTTAATGTAGAGTCTTAGATTCTAGATGTGAATTTGACAAATTTAAGGCATATTATGGTGATCATAACAATTTCCAAATATATTATATGTTTACAGGAGTTGAGAATTGCTGGGAAAATCGGGATTGTGAAGATTATAAAAGGAATAAGTTAATAGATCAACCTACAGGCCACAACCATCAGGTTGCAATAAATCAATCCAAACAGAGCAACTGTTTGATCAATCAGCTTGGTTATCATGTTTAAGATTGTAATCATACACTGATTGGTAATTCATCACTTCATATGTTATTATCATATGATTTTCATCATTTCAAGAGCCATTGGATTAGTGGTCACTTTTGTTCCCTAATTTCTTCCATCCCATGGCCATTCTTGCAAAAGAATTTGCGGTATTAATTGGCATACTTTTGTGAATGTAGAGTCCTTACAGGTGCTGGTATCCCTTGACTGTACATCTTTGGCTCTATTCATAAGTCATCAGTTGTGAGAGCGATTCTTAAGTTTGAGTGATTTTTCATAGCGTTAAGATCTTTACCCTAGAACATGCCAAGTTTGCTTTAGATATTGTATGGAAGGTCTATTCTATACTGATGGAGTGCCAGAGGACTATAGCGGTGTCGATGTTTAAACTTCATAGGTTCACCTGTGAATAAAATTTGGTTGGGTGGTTTGATATCCTTATGAAGAGGCATTAAGAAGTCATGTAGGGCATGCATATCAAAGCACTATAAACACTATTGTTTCTTTGGTCTCTCTCTCTCTCTCTCTCTCTCTCTCTCTCTGGTCTATAAACACTATTGTTTGATATCCTTGACTATTTTCTCACTTGAATATCAATTTATGCTTTTAGGTTGGTCTGTTTATTGTTGCTCCAATTATAAATGTTGTGTGTTGTGATATGAAATTATCTTGATCATTCTTTTTTCTCCTTTATTTTGTTTACTTGAATTTGTGCTGCTTAGCTTGTTAATTTATGTTGCTAGAGTTGAGTTGTATGGCTAAACCTGCATTGTTTTTATTCAATCTAATCCCCTGCTCCCTCTTAGGTTCTTCTAACCTGACCAACTATAAAATGTTTGAGGCTGTTGTCTCATAGTAGATGTCGTTCTTTTATAGTTATCCTCCATTTTTTTAGGCCTTTGCATATTGTAAGCTTTTCTTATCTCAAATATATTCTAAATGATATTAGTAAAAGATGTGGGACTTTTGAGATGTCTTTCAGAAATTGAGATTTATATGTCACTAATTTCATGTTCCAGAATTTGACATTTTATACTCTCTAACTGAAAAAGAAAATGTTAGTTGGTGTTCTTCGTGATGATTGAAGTAATGAATGTGTCGTTATGGGATATATAAAAGAACTAAGGTGTTCTTTTTTCAGTATTTGTGTTAGTGAAATGCCAAGCATTTGTAGATGCAGACATTTGTTCAAGCGATACAACACCTTGACATATGCAACTTTGTTTGTGAACTTAGTTAATTTTGTTAGTCATTCTTCGATGAGCAATGTTGGATCTAGATCTACTAGACAGATAGTCAACAAACTTATGTGCACCTGTTGCAGAAAATGTTTGGTTATATGACCTGATTATGGAGTTGTTTCTTCAGATATTATGGTTCCGTGTAAACCAATTTTTTTTTACAATCATTTGAAGCTTGATCTAATATGCTAAATGCTCTCTCGATTTAAATTTCAGTATGAATCAGACATCTGACTGACTTTTACTATTTTAAGCAAAGTCAACTAGCGTTTGGTCTTCTTATCATTGTCATCGTCATTGATTCAAGATAATTATGTATTTTTTTAGTTTTTGTTACAAAGCCTTTTTCTCATTTGTTTTTGTCACAGCATGTCAAAGAAGAATTAAAGAGAAGGGCAAATGAGTGTGATGGATCATGTAGAAGTAGTATTTCATTGGATTTCCAGAAGTCAGCTATGCATGAAGCCTTCCGAGAATCCCTTACTGAAGTGGCCAAACTAACATGCACCAGCAACCCAACTTGCTTGCCTACTGATCATTACAAATAATGTCAGTAAATGTTTAATCTTCAACTTCTAGAGGCTGTCGATCAAACAGTATGTTAACTTATTAATAATTTGAAGCAGATCTAAAGGAAAGTGATGCACATGCTTTAGAGACCTGGAGATGTCTTGAAACTGAAACGGAAAAACCAGAGTTCAAGATGCCCTAATTGTCACTGCGTAAGCAATTTCACTTGGCTATTCACTGATTGCAGGAGAAGTAATACTTATCTTGAATTTGTCCCTCCCATCAATTTCTTCCTTTTATTTTTTTTTTCTTCTTTTGTCAAGAATTTTGTTGTCATTTCTATGGCATCAGTTATCTACTCCCCATGTGGCTCCAGGTATATAGCTCCGTGAAGCTACAAAACTCATTAGGCATTAGTTATATTCCGTATTGTCACGGACTTAGCTGGTTTTGTCTTAGTCGTGCGGCACCCTTGCGTGTTCATCCGTAAAGGTCAGCCTCCCCGAAGCCTCCTATGTCCCTTAGGACCCACAAAATAGAGAACGGGTTAGAGAAAACGTCTCATTCGGGATCCACAAGCAAACATCTTCGAAAACACTTCATAGACAATGTAAATTACAAACAGATTTTACAAGCTCTGAACAATTGCACAACAAAGGGTAAAATGGTCTATTATAGACCGAACTAAAATGAGACTATTAAGCCTTCGGTTGTCCCTCTACATGTTAGTCAAAGTATGAACATACCAATAGACACGGACATACATAAGCATTACATCAAACATCCTGTTTAGAAGTTTGTCTATGACATTCTCCCCCACTTATTCCTTCGACGTGCTCGTCGAAGCCTTTGTCGTCACTGCAACTCCTCGCCTTTGTTGAGTCTTCAATCTTCTGCTCCAGTTGCAATGCGTCTCTTGGCTCCCAACTGCTCTTCGCTGCTGTTTTTGAGTAGTCGAACCTTTGATCCGCCATGTTGCTTCAACTCGCCAATGACTCTGACTCTGGTGTGGGGTTGGCTGAGTTGTGTTGATCCCTGTTGATTTCTGTTGATCCCTGTTGATTTCTGTGGATCCTCCAGATGAAGGAAAAGACCATCCTTACTGTGCCAGTCTCTCAAATGCCTCATGCTGTTTAAACTGGGTGGATGCTTGTTGGAGCTTTTAACGAGCATTGTCTCGCAAACTTCTGAAGTTTTGGGTCCTTCCTCAACAAAATTTACCCATTGACTCTTCTTTCACTTAGTTGTCGCTTCCAAGTAGGTTCGCATCACTCCCGCTTTCGATTGGCATTTCGTTGGGAAATGAAGCGGACAATCTACTCTCAGTAGTACTACTGATCATCGTTGGTGAGGATTTGATAACTATTGTCTTCCATTATCTTCGAAGAGTCTTTGAACTTGTGCAGAGCTCCTCTGCTGGATAGATAAGAGAATTGGGGTACTCGGTTTCTCCCATTCTCTTAAGGATTGAGAAGGCAAAGGTTACTTGACTTCGCCCGCCTCCTCGAGGTTGTACTCCATGCATCGAGCTGGTTACTGGCCTTCGCCAGCTCTTTACTCACACTTCTGAAGCACTTGAAGTGTTTACACTCCTTGTGTTGAGTTAGCTACTGTGATTCACCTTCTCAATGCCATCGAACTTCTGGAATGCAGGAAGTTTTCACCCCAACTTGGAGTAATTCTCTAATAGATTTGGTCGTCTCTAGGATTGTACCGTCTTCTCCATCAACCCTGTCGCCTACTCCCTTGAGTAGCAAAGGTACAACACCGCGTACTGCCTGCTTCGTTCCTTGGTCGTGCACTCTTGCATGACCCGAAGTCCTTCACTTTTGGCTATCTTGATGAGAAGCTCGTTGACATCGGTCTTACGAAGTTCCTTGGCCTCTGCCCTTCAGCCTTGTCTCGGTACTTGGAGATTTGCCTCTGCATGCTCCGCCTCCTCGACCCCTTTTACGACCATGCGCTCTCCCTCCATGAGAGCAAGGGATCAATGCCTTTCACGGAAGTCCCGCCTCTGCGGTACCATAGCGCTGCCATGCCCATGACCCTACTATCCGTCGCCTCGCATCTGCATCCCTTTTCTTCACGATCAGTAGATATGTCTCCGTGGCGCTCCTCTGAGTCCACCTTCATTCTAACTGATGCTTGATTTTGGGTAGCTAAGTCTCTCTGGACTCATCGTTGCTTCCTTGCCCTTTTCGACCCCCTACTTCAACACCTCTGTGTTATCCAAGCAGCTCCCTTTAGTCAATGGAAAGACAGACTGCAACTCTCTTGCATGGCCTCTGTCATCACATTGTAGGGTTTGCACCGATTCTGTTCTCCTTAGCTTCCTTGGTAGCAACGTTCGCTTACTCGACCTTGTCCTCTAACTTGTCAGGCACCCTTAAGCGAATATGAGCTCTGGAGCAATCCAATTCTCCAGCTGCTTCAATCATACCTCTGTATGATCAAGTCTCTCCCATGGGACTCACTAGTACTTGCATTCGAACTTTACCCTTGGTGGAACACATCCCCCATATGTTGATGACCAAGGCTTTCATCCGATGCAAAAATCGATGCACGCACGGAAGATCCACATCTGCGGTACCATGGCCTTCACTCCTTGAATCCATAGCCATTCTTGCCATCGTGTTTGTTTACCGAAGTGGAACTTCCAATAGCTCCCGATCATGCCTCTGTATGATCTAGTCCCTCACGGGACTCATTCATGTGTATCGCATAGTCATTCACGGGACTCCGTATGATCTAGTCCCTCACGGGACTCATTCATGTGTATCGCATTGCCATGAACTGTTTCACCACGATCCGCTGCACCATGTCGCCTCCTAGTGATATCTCCATTGCATTCTGATCCTTGTGGGATGAACTCGAATTATGGTCCCTCCATGTGTGACCTCTGCCAATACATCGCAGGGTCTCTTCCACCTTCGATTTTGTTCGCTCCTTTGGCAATCGACCTTCATCCACTCACTCTTGGGTCACACCTAGATGAAGCACCGCTCTAGGACAGTCCGTCGCCTAGTAGCTCCCGAAGTCCCCCGACTTCGCTGCAATTAGTGCACCATTGTCTGGATCCTGGGCCTCTGCCCCTACCAACACAATCTTCGTTGCACACCGTTTCCTTCATGGCAACTTGAATGACAACACTATGGCATATTCTTCAAGAGTGCCCGCTTCTGCGTCCTCTTGCCCCGTGCTAAGGCCTTCCGAACCCAACTTCGCCTCCGCAAATTGAGTCGCCTTAGTTCCTCCATCACATGCTTTTCCGAGATAAGGTGCATGTGCCTAGAAGCTCCCTTCGTCTTTGGCACAATGCAAGATGAGTCCGCTCCGTCAGAATGAATGACCCATGGAACAACATGATCCTACTCTTGCCTCTACAAGAGTTCATGTCCTTGACCTTTATCCAAGGAAATCACTATGCCTCTGCTCCATGTTCCATCTTCTATGCTGGCTCCCTTCATGCGGCTTGGGTACATTGCCAAGTTACACCCAAGTTGCTCCGCTCCTCGTTTTTGCATTGAGTTGATGGTGGCTCTCGCGCCCACCATTCCACGGGTCAGCCCTCCCTTGAGTCCGATCTCCATAACGACTCCAAGTGTGCCTTCATTTAAGTTGCTTTGGGTCGCTCCCCCACTTGATCTCGCAATGCATCCACCAATGCATTCTCTCAAGCGAGATCATGCGACGACTCCTCGTCGCTTGCTCAGTCCATTGAGCTTCGTGGAGTTGTTGTTTGTTGAGGTACTCCTCAACATGTGAGGTCCGTCCCACATGATTCTCCCTCTGGAGAGCCAAGACTTATCCCTCCTGGATAACTGTCCCATTGGAGCAACATCTCTCTTCGTTTCGAAAACCACCATCTTGTTCTGCCTCCTACAAACGCACTTGCTAGATTGCGACTCCACGGCAATACAACCCCCGCTACACCACTCAAGGCCTAGCAACATGTTGAACTCGTTGCACACTTCAGCCTCCTACGGACGTATCCTTCACATGCCGAAGAGAAAGTTTCAATGCTCCATGGCGCCGAGTTTCGGTCGCCTTGGGATGGCCGCGAACATTCCATCGTCCGCATACAAGCCCATGCATGAGTACCGAATTCTTTGAGTTAGCAATTCCCCTCATCTCTATGAGTTTTGCACAACTCTTTCGATCGCTGAGCAACTCATTCCACCTTGCATAGTCTCATCCTTTACCAAACGCCTCGCTTGCCTTGAGTACCATCAAGTATGGTTGTCAACGTTGAGCCGTAGCTCAAACTCAACCATCCCAACCTTTGTGCGCTCCGCATTCTTCCAGGCTTGCCTGTTCTCGTGGTGCCTCTTGCGCGAAGGGTTGGTCATTCCTCTGAATGCCAATCTCATATGCCCGCTCCTCCGAGCGACTCATTTTCCCTACATCTCCATGCCCGTTTTCCCCCAAACGGTCGTGCGTGTGCTGACTGCCCTCAACGCAGCCCCACTAGGTCCCCCACATTTGCATGCTAAGTGTTTCTATGAGTGCTTGTCCCGCTCTGATACCATCTGTCACGGACTTAGCTGGTTTTGCCTAAGTTGTGCGGCACCCTTACGTGTCCGTCCGCAAAGGTCAGCCTCCCCGAAGCCTCTCATGTCCCTTAGGACCCACAAAAGAGAAAACGGGTTAGAGAAAACGCCTCATTCGGGATCCACAAGCAAATATCTCCGAAAACACTTCATAGACAATGCAAATTACAAACAGACTTTACAAGCTTTGAACAGTTGCACAACAAAAGGTAAAATGGTCAATTATAGACCGAACTAAAATGAGACTATTAAGCATTCGACTGTCCCTCTACATGCTAGTCAAAGTATGAACATACCAATAGACACGGACATACATAAGCATTACATCAAACATCCTGTTTAGAAATTTGTCCGTGACAGTATATTCTAACCTTTTGTCATTGCTTTCTAAACTATACCTTCCGAGAGGCTTTAGTACACAATACAAGAGACTTCCAAGTTTTAGATTTGATACTATCCGGGCATAGTTTTCATTAATGTCTTAAGTTGGTGTCCCCAATTTTTTTCGGTGTGATATGGTCTTCCATCATCTGAACTTAAAAAATTGTGCTTTTGGTTCAAGACATTCTTTATGCAAACATCATGGCAGGAGGACAATTAGTACACTTGGTTTAACTTGGACCAGGCTATTACTTCTCCAAAGCCTCGTGGAACATGCATCTGGAAAATTCACAGATCGAGAACTGGGCATGCAGATGACGGTGCTTGTGATCCTTTTCTTTTGAAGTTGGTGGGGAGTGGTTTCTTCCCATGACTCGTCAAAGTTAACATCTTTGTGCAGATTCAACTGTTTTCCAAATTTTCAGATATATCCACCAAATTTAAATGCTTGTTATTTGATTTGCTCCGTAGATCGAGTCAATTTGACTCGTTTGATAATACTTTAGTATGACATATGGCAATGTCAAATTACTGTACTCCTGAGGACTGGTTAAGCTTGTGAAGAAAGAAAACCAATTGCTCTTTCTTTTCCTTCAACTACTCATGAATTGCCTTTACGATGCTTGTTTTCAAGTAAATGTTTGTGTGGATGACAATTGTAGATTTAGAAAAGTTTTCTCCTTCAAGTGAAATTCTTCCTTCTGTTCATTTGACTTTTGTGAAGTCAAAGTCAAAGTTCTTGAGCAGAGGCGTAATTCCATGGGAGGGAGGGAGGAAGCAGAGAGAGTAACAGATGGGTCCACAAACACAAGATAACCGTTGACTTGTGGAGTTTCCAGCGGATAACCGGTGGTTGTGTGCTTCTCCACGACTCTTCACATCTTGTTTACTGCTGCGTCTGCGTCATGTTGTTTTCCTTTGACCACAAGAAATCTAGCTTGGAGTTTTTTAGCCTACTTTTTCGCGAGACGATGCCGCGGTGTTGCCAGTGTTCCCCTTCTTCACCAAACTCGATGAGTGGCAGCGGCGTCAACGGCTCGAGCTTCCTCCCGCCCGATGACAACTCCAACGGGCGGCCGGCTGGGTTGGCCTACGGCCTCCCCGCCTCGGTGGGGATCCTGATGGTGATCACCGCCGCCCTTCTTGCGTCCTATCTGTGCACCCGAGCAAGAACCACGGCCGCGAACCGGCGGTCCGGCGACGTTGCAGCGACGCCCACTGACCTCGAGGCCGGCATCGACGAGGCGACCCTGACGAGCTACCCGAAGGTCACGTACTCGCAGGCTAAGCTGGAGGAGAAGGGCACCACCACCGCGGCGTGCTGCTCCATATGCCTGAGCGACTACGAGGACGCTGACGTGCTGCGACTGTTGCCGGACTGCGGGCACCTCTTCCACCTCGACTGCGTCGACCCGTGGCTGAGGGCGCACCGGTCGTGCCCCAACTGCCGCTCGTCGCCGGCCCCCAGCTCCATGCCCACGCCTCTCTCGGAGGTGGTGCCATTGGCACGGGCGAGACAGTCGCAGTGAACGTGATCGTACATAACACGCCTCAAATGTGTCGTCCGGTGTCTTCGGTGAATCAAATGATCGGTATATGCTGGAGAAAGAATTCCTTCTTGCATCATTCAGCCAACCGGATCATTACTCGATCCATACTTGCATAGTCTTTGAAGAACACCAGTTCAAATTTAGGAGGTTCTCCGAAGCTTTTTGGCTGATACTTCTTGTATGCATACCAGCTCAAAAACCTGCTGTTTTGATTTTTTCTTCGCAAATAAATACGAAAAAAAAATAAATTTTGTTAATATTTTTAAATAGTCAAAGGAATATATGTAGTTACTCAGCATCTATCTTTTATTCTTATATTTATTTTTATGACCAAGTTTTTGAAAAAACCCTTACTTTTTAAAATTTTTAACATAGTGCCCTTTGAAAATTTTATAAAAGATAAAAAGATCATTTTATCTTTTTTTCGTCTGACCCATGGTAGCGTAAGAGTTACCTCTACTAATCTCACTAGCTTTATCATTACATGTCTCGCTTACTACCCATATATGAGACAATGACGGTGAGGGCATGCAGACCGCTCATTTTCTTTTCTTGCCCATAGTTGATGATGTGAGAGGGGCTCGTAGGTGATGGCAAAACCCCCCACCCCCTCTTCCTTCCTCTCTTGTGGTTGATGACGAAGGTGTTTTGCCTTCTCTTATTCCTCACTCATGTTGATGACCCTTCTATCATCCTTTATAATTGATGATAAGGGTAGGTTGTGAGTGAGAGGAGAAGACGAGTATCCAAGAATTACGAGCAATGAGTCAAGGGTTGTAAGTAATATGAGCTCTCGTATGAGAGTTACGAGCAATTATGATCGATGAGGCAAACGAGCACGATAATTATTTACAAGAAATTATAAAAAATAGTTTTTTTCATGAATTCGCCCCAATTTTATTCTTGGACGGCTCGGAAATTGTTATGATCATGGTTATCGAACTCGCGATTTGGACCGTGGGATCCTGCGATCATACGGTCCAGATCAAGTCCGGCCAGTTTATGTGCTGCGTCGGGGCATAACGCAGGGCTCTTGTTTTAGGCGGTTCGATCAGTCCGGGGAAGATCGCATCGCGGCCGTTCGATGCGATGATTCGTCGATCGCCACTCTGCCTGACCCAGATCAAGCCATCCGATTTAAGGAAGGAGCACCTGGGAGCCGATTGATCCGGTGGGCAAGACACGGGCACGAATCACCGTCCTTGGACGACGATGGGCATCGAGATGCGCACCACGTTGTGATGGTACCTCCGGAAGGGAGAAAGCAAATATTGTATCTCCGTCGCCTTAAGCCGTCGAGTGTTTTTCGTTCTTCCCGTCGCCTCGCGTTGTCGACGAAGCCATAGGAAGACGACGAAACGATCGATTCGTATCGCCTTCGTGCAACGGGTTTCCCTTCAACTGGCGTTCGATTGGTTTCTTTAGATTCTTTCACGCCTTGTCTTCCTCCGTCTCTTCAAGAACCCTAGTTCTTTTCTCCTTCTTCACCACCTTATCTCGATCGTTTTTTCTTTGTTTATGGAGCCTCAAGAATCCGCTAGGTGGTCATATAGGTGCTAAAGATCCGATCTTTAAAGGGTTTGTTCTTTTTTAACCCTTTTTTTGGGTATGCATTCAGTGCAGACTTCTTTGCCATTTTATGGTGTCATCTCCTTTATTAGGGCTTTTGATAAGAGAAAACTAGCCCGGCGTTGGTGAGCGGGACTGAAGTTGGAAATGGTGAGTCGTGTATCAGGGTTTGTTCCTGCATCGTCTTCTGTTGCTGCGGATTTCTTGATAAATTTGCTTTCTTCTCGTTCCATTTTGTTGTTTTAAATCTATATCTCTTTGTTTGATGCAGTCGTCCGATATAAGGAAATGGTTCATGAAGCAACACGACAAGGGGAGTGGGTCTGTATCAAAGCCTGCGTCAAAGCCTGCTACAGCTGTTCCGGATAAACCTTCTCCGCTGAGCTCACAGAAACCGGTAATTGGCATGGTTTCTTTGCCCTTATTCTCCTTCATTTGCATATTTATATGATTTTATGCGGCTGTAAGGTTAATTGGCATACACCTCCATCAGTTTTTGTTACCGTGCATCCATGTCTAGATCGATGCCAATTATTGAGCCTCCTTCTTCCAACTCATTCATTTTCGCCTTTTTCTGTATTTTGTTTATGTGTGACAAGATGATAATAAGGCACAGCCATTGCATTACTAGTGGGTTTTTTTTAAAAGAAGAGTGACTAGGAAGCAGAAGAATATGTTTTGTACATTCCACAATAATTCAATGTGGTTTACATGTCTAACGAACAAAGGAAAGCTGAACAAATTATGACTGATACACTTTGCCTTTGTAATGGTGTGCTGGAAGATTTATGTTTATACTTTATAACATGATATGAACAATGTCGTTGACTTTTTCATGGAAGAATCAGGTGCAAGCAACACAAGAGAACTCTGGCAGAAGAAAAACTAGCAAATATTTCACAACATCTACAGCCAAGGAAGTGAACTCAAAGGAAACGGTAAAGGAAAAAGTAGAAGCTAAAACACCACCAAAAAGGAAGACTCGAAAATCCATTGAGGATCTCCCAGATGATATTAAGCCGTCACCTGCAAAGAAGTTGCATAGGAATGATGATGATGATGATGATGATGACTTTGTGCCACCTAGTAAGGATAAAAGGTCAGCTGAGGTCAAACCTACCAAGAAAATGAAGACTGGCTCTGGTATACAGATTATCAGTAGTTCTCATGAAGTTGATGATCATCTTGAAGATGAAACCGATGAAAATGATTATGAAACTCCTCTTAAAGCTGGTGGGAGGGGTAAGGGTGGAAGAGGGTCTGGAGCTACTGCAGGAGGAAGAGGGAGAGGTGGTGGCAGAGGTGGGTATATGAATTTTGGAGAGAGGAAGGATCCTCCACACAAAGGGGAAAAGGTACTTGATATTTAACATACTGCTGTATCACCAAATTGGCAAGTTCCAAGGTTTCACTCTTGTTTTTCTTGCTGATTAGGAAGTTCCGGAAGGTTCTCCTGAATGTTTAAATAGTCTGACATTCGTCATAAGTGGTACACTTGACAGGTAATCTGCATCAATGATAAAGATTTTCTTGATCTTTTGTCTATGAGATTTATACACCTTGTTTGCTGATTTCCTAGTATAATTGATGGGTGTGTAGTGTTCTTTGCTCCAGAATATGTTAATATTATTGCACCATTATGACATTCAGACGATACATGTAATTTGTAGTTTGGAACGTGAGGAAGCTGAAGATTTAATTAAACGCCATGGTGGTAGGGTCACTAGTGCTGTCAGCAAAAAGACGGTAATTAACATTCTGAAGATCTTTATTTTGGATTTTGTATATGATGTTATAAGTTATAACCATCTTGACTTTGCTGTAGAGTTTTCTTTTAGCTGATGAGGATGTTGGTGGGAGGAAATCTTCAAAAGCCAAGGAGCTGGGGTCCGTTTTATTAGCATTGTCTTTATAGATACTCTTGGTCACTGGTCATCAAAGTTTCTTTAACCTAGTCTGTGTTCTTGGTAGTATTCCCTTCCTTACTGAGGATGGATTATTTGATAAGATCCGGAAATCAAAGCCTGCTAAAGCACAGATGCAAGAAGAGAAAAAGAAGAGATCCCCAGAAAAGATGGACAAACCAATTATCAATAAAAGCCCTCGCAAAGTTGAAGTGAAAGGTATTTTTAATCTGTCTTTTTTGTTCGTGGCATGGAAGACATGATATTTGTTTTCATAGTCTACATATGGTACTTGATATATACATTGATATTACTTTACATAGTATTGCTTATTTAAAAGGTTTTTTTCTTTTGTTATGATGGTGATATCAGCTAATGATGGCTAGACCGTTTAGTATTAATTGACTAGCTCATTAGGATTTTATGACTTATTCTTGTGGTTTTATGGGAGAAGACAGAAATGATATATATCTAAAAGCGAAAGAGAAAGAGCATGGCTTATATAGTTTGGTGTGCCATGGTAGCTGGTCCCACAATCTGTTTCAGACAAGTACTTTGTTTAGGTTCATGCTATATTACTAGATTTGAGATTTTGGAATATTGATGATATAAATCATTTAATTGAATGCAGCAACTTGTTCTGCCATACAGTCATGCAAAATTCAATCTTTGATGTTCTTCTATTGTTTCCTATTATTTGTTGTTATATTTAAGTAAAAAGCTGACAGTTTTTACAAATATATGACTTCAATGCTGAGCCACGTATTTCTTTGAACACTTTTTAACTCACTAAACTAGTTATCCTGTGTCTGACCTCCATGTAAGTGCTATATGTTCTTTTTTAGCAGACTATCGTTGTTCATGTGACCACTCTAAATATGATCAATGTCCTTTATCACTTTCTAGATGATAAAGCTGTTTCTATTGGAAGAAAAGATGCTGCAAAAAATGTTAAATCAGGCATCTCGCCTGACAAAAGAAAAAGTCAGTCTGGTGATCGGAGTTCATTGACATGGACTGAGAAGTATCGTCCGAAGCTTCCAAATGACATCATTGGCAATCAGTCAATCGTATGTTGATCTTTGTTTCTTTTTCCCTATGTTTCTTTAATCTTTGTTTGCAAACAACTTGAACTTGGTTACTATGAACAGGTTAAGCAACTTCATGACTGGTTAATGACCTGGGATGAACATTTCTTGCATGCTGGCCAGAAAGGAAAAGGGAAAAAGCAATCTGACAGTGGATCTAAAAAAGCCGTGCTGCTGAGTGGATCACCTGGAATTGGGAAAAGCACTTCAGCAAAGTTAGTCAGTCAGATGATTGGTTTCCAAGCTATTGAGGTGCCTTTTGTTTTATTTCTTTTATTGTACAATCACTGTGGTTCCAAGAAAATGTTTTTGGCCAAGTTGGATTGTGGTAAAATTAGTTTTCTTGTTGATTTTTAATTTACTTAAATTTTGCTAGGTTAATGCAAGTGATAGCCGTGGCAAGGCAGATGCCAAAATTGGTAAAGGAATTGGTGGAAGTACATCAAATTCTATCAAAGAACTTGTTAGCAATGAAATAGTAAATTCTAGCAGTGACTGGTTAGTGTTACATGATTGACTGTGGGTTTTGCAAAGATCAATTGTCTGTTTGATATATGTTTTTAGAATTGAAATAGCAGGTCAAAGCGTCAAAAATCTGTGTTAATCATGGATGAGGTTGATGGCATGTCTGCTGGAGATAGAGGTGGAGTGGCTGATCTTATTGCTAGCATAAAGATTTCTAAGATTCCTATCATCTGCATCTGTAATGATCGCTACAGTCAAAAGCTCAAGAGTCTTGTCAACTACTGCTTGCCACTTAACTACAGGAAACCTACTAAGCAGCAGGTTACATGCATTTAACTTTTTTTCTTTACATAGCAACATTTATTGGTTGTCTACTTCCATCCTAGTCACTTGAATACCTATTGTATCTAGTTGTCTGTTATGTTCCTGAAGATGTAAATAAAGGTTAAAACTTGGCAAATACTAGAGGCCTCATGTTAGGAGCCACACATCCCACCTTGCATGAATTGATTGGCTAAGTGACAGGGCCTGTGGCGCAGGCCTTCTTTGCTTTCATTTGAAGAGAAGTCGCCCCTAGAAACTTTTTTTAATGGCAAATTATGGCTAGCTTGCTCTACAATTGGGATCGGGTTGTGGCCAGGTGTTTGACTTTGAGGGCCGAGGATATGAGAGAAAGAGATGGTGCTTTTAAATGAGCTGTTGATTGTTTCTGTTTCTCCCCAAACCATAAAAGAATCTCTGATTTGTCAAATGCACACAATAAGATAGAAGCCCAAAATCTTTGGTTTTTTTTAGATAAAAAATTGTAGACAGTTGCGACACTGGCTTGGATCCTGTATTGTAACAAACTATGGAAATTGTGTTGCTGAGTTAAGAGTGTTGAGACAGATGATTGGTACACTAACAAATTTGAGTAACAGTTGTCTACGTATTACCAAAACCAATTGTGAATAAAGTGGGAGAAAAATGATATTGGGGTATATGTTTATAAGGAGGTTTATGAATGGATTAGTGAGAGGTGAGTTAATTCAGGTTAGTGATCCAAAGAGAGGTGAGGAAGTCCTATAAATTTTTTTTAGAGATTGATTTCTCTTAATCTGATTAAGTAGATGGCCACCCTGTAGCTCAATGTTGGGGAAGGATCCATGATTTGACCTCTAGTGTGGTTTACGTTTTGCATGTTCTTACTATAATTTGCTTTATCCATGCATCATTGCCACTGCTGAATGATAGTTGACCAGGAACTTCTTAATTAATTTGTGGGTGTATGTGTAGCCTGGTATGTCAGTATGTTCATATTAGTGTTTTAGCTGTATCTTATGTTGGAATTTGGAAAGATGTGTATCTGATTTGTAGATTTTGCTATGCAGATGGCTAAAAGGTTGAAGCAAATTGCAGATGCTGAAGGTCTCCAAATTAATGAGGTACACCACAAAGCTAACATAGTTTAATAATTTTTCTCTTAAGGTGTTACTTACAAGAGGCCATGTAAAGATGAACTTGGATATAAGTAATGTGTAGATGCTTTTGGCTTGTGTTTTTAATCTTCCTATCTCATTATGTTGGAAGTTGTAATTAGCATTATGATGCACGATCTCTTTTGGAGTTGATGTTGCATAAACTTTATGTTTAGGAGACAATAATTATTTCTTTATTTCTTCATGTTTGTTGGTCTCTCCGTCCACATAATAGGTTGCACTTGAAGAACTTGCAGAAAGAGTAAATGGAGATATGCGCATGGCAATAAATCAATTGCAGTACATGAGCATCTCAAAGTCAGCAATCAATTATGACGATATAAGACAGCGCCTTCTTTCTAGTGCAAAGGATGAAGATATTTCACCCTTTACAGCCGTTGACAAGTACTTTCTGCATCCTGACTTCTTCGCAAGTTTGCTTCCAATAAGCTAATTGCAATTGCCTGGATGAGGCTTGTTATTCACTCATTGTTATATTTTAGGTCCTTTTTATGTTGCTGATCTCATGAGCTAATATGTTGTAACTCTTTCACGATCTTGATCTTGAGGTAGCCAACTTTTTATGAAATTTGATAGCATTTACAGATATCTGGACTAGATTATTCTTAGATGATGATAGGGACATCATTTGGTATTCTTAGATTATCTGGATACTGGCAATCATTTGGTATGCTTCTTAGTTCTTTTGGGATTCTTCATAAAATATTGCTTCTAGTGAAAGTGTTCAAGTTTGACAGTGTTTTGAGAATGGTCTTTTGATGTCAAATCTCGGCGCTGATCGCCAAAAGTTTGGTTATAGACTAAGTAGCCGCAAAGTTGGGGAAAATGACATCTCAATTTTTGAAGCCAACAAGAGCAGAAATGAACCCAGTAATTCCTAATTGGAGCAGATAGAAAACATTGTAGTAGAGTATGTGGATTTGAGACAGCTGTTTTTTGTGCTGAGGGTAATTATGAGTGTTTTTCCTTAATGTGGTTCATATGGATGTCTAAAGCCTATATAATGAGGATCTAGGAAGCATATAATGCTGTTGATGATTCGAACAGATGTTTATGTTTTAGAGAGTATCAACATCTATAAGGTCTTGAGATTATAAATGGGCTCATGTCCAGCTGGAAACATGTATTTTCACACCTGTTGGCATGTTGTATATGCTTTCTAAACTCTTGAATTTTGTTTCAAAAATTAGCTGCAAACACATTTTTTTCCTCTTTATGTTTTCACTTAATTGGGCTGGATCTTGGTTGATGATATATGGGTATTAACTATTAAGTACTTTGAGGATGGTTGCAAAATCTTGAAACTGCACCAACTTATCCATTCATGTTCCTTCACTTTGGAGGGGTCAGGTTAATGACAGCTTGTAACAGAAATGTATTGAACCATATCTGATATCACATTTCACTTGGTTGAGCAATTTGAGCAAAGATGCTTTCATTTTCGTCATGATTCAGGCTCATGTCTGGTTGAAACTTATTTGAAGTGGGTTGTTTGGCTGAAATTAAAGTCATGATAATATGTGAATCATCTGCATTATGGTAATACAAGGCCTTCTTGATCTGTTTGGAATCAAATATAAGATCGACTGAATATATATTTTTTTGAAGATGTGTCAGATTTAGTGATTGGCTTTTAACCTCAGTGTTGTGAAGTCCTAGCCAAAGCCAAGTTTAACACATGGTGATGCATAGAGGCTTTCAGGTTGCCCTAATATGATTTTAGTTTTATACAAGTGAGGCAGTAACATTATGTGCCAAATGAGGTAGGTAGAAAATTAGAGATGGAAGCTGGAAGTATAAGAGCTAGCCAGCCCTTGGTTATACATTATTAAAGAAATTCAGTCATCCTGTCTACCCGATTTGGAAAGGGTCACATTCTATCGATCAATGATGTAAGTAAAAACAGTTAAAATTTGGATAATATTTATATGAATTCTTATGATTTGATACCTTAAAAACCCTGATTCTCGTATTCGAGACATTCAAATCCCTGAAGATAATATCTCTTAGGCGCTTGTACATGAAATCATAAATATTTAAAATCTGTCTATTGTTAAAACTCAATTATTAGTCAGTGTAATGACAAATGAGACTCAAAATGTTGAATAAATACACCATATACAATAATGTGGGTATATACAATATATTCTTGGAAAACAGTTGTTAATTCTTTTACTATGTGATCACATATCATGCTCTTCTACTTGATGTTCCTATCTATTGCTGAATATTGTAGCTTAACACCTTGCATGATGTGTTACTACTTACTAATGATCTGCCAATTTTGTTTGCTGAATTCAGACTTTAAACTGGAACTTTCTGGTAAGGTAACTTGTAGGCTCAATTTGCTCAATCTAGTGAGAGATGGTCTCTAGCATGCTTGAGAGCCTCTTCTCTAGTTCTGTTATTTGTTCTCTACTAACAGAAGTAAATTGTTTGTAGAATTATCTGTTGATAGCATGATTGAAATAGCAACTAGACATCCTAAAATCATTGGTTCACATTTTTTTTTTCAGAATTCTATTAACATTGCCTTTGTATCGTAGGCTCTTTGGATTCAATGGTGGGAAGCTGCGTATGGATGAAAGAATTGATTTAAGCATGAGTGATCCTGACTTGGTTCCCCTTATTGTTCAGGTTTGTTATGTGTTCTAACTTGACTAACTTTTTAGGTCATTTCATATTTACAACAATGCATGATATTGTATCTTCCTTGGTTGGTTACTTAAGTGGATTTTATATGTGCAACTATATGTGACATCTTATGCATCTGAAATATAGCTCTTATTATGTGAGGTTGAGTTTGCCTTAGGCCATTGTAGAAAAATACAAATCATATGTTTAGTTCTTACTGTGATATCTTACACTTCCATCAATTGATATGGAGGGCTGTATTATCAAAAACACAACTGAATCACTTTAGAAGCAGCATTTTAGCAACAAACATTATGTGCTGTCACTTGCAGAGGTTCCTAGGAGAGCTTTACCTGGAATACTATGCTAGGACATGTAATTGTTTGTTGTTTGTTTTTATAAATTTGTGAAAATGTTACAGATATGCTGGATTACTAATAAGGTAAAAACCATGCTGGACCAAAAGGGGACTTTAAGTTAGACATTAAAACGACATAATGATAACTAATGTGTTTACCTTTTTGTTTCATGCTCTGGAGCATTTATAAATTAATAATCCAATGAAATAACATGAAAATATGAACACCATAGCCAAGTAGTAAAAT